AGAGGAGGCTGAGGAGAGACCTTACTGGCCTCTGCATCCCCCTGAAAGGAGGTTGGACTGAGGGGGATGTTGGCCTCCTCTCCCAGGTAACTTGCAATAGAACAAGAGGAAATGGGTTTAAATTATGCCAGGGAAGGTTTAGATTGGATATTGGGGATAATTTCTTTCCTGCCAGAGTGGTGAGGCACTGGAACAGGCTGCACAGGCAGGTGGGGGAGGCCCCATCCCTGGGGGGGTTCAAAAAATATGTGGACATGTTACTTCAGGGCATGGTTTAATGGTCATGGTAGTGTTAGGTTGATGTTTGGACCTGATGATCTTGGAGGTCTTTTCCAACCTTTACGATTCTGTGTGTGGGGCTGAGCAAGGTTGAGTTAGAAATGGGCTTGTGCTGGGCTAGTGTTGAGGGAGATACAGGGCACCTGTGTGGGGTGGAGCTGGAGAAGGTTTGGTCATGCTGGAGTCCTAGGAGCTGGGGTCCCCTTACACCCTGAGGGGGGTGGTGTTTTGGGCAGGCACCCCTGTGCTCCCTGCGGTGGGACTCCACAGTGAGCACCATCTGATAGCTACATTACTGCTACTCCCACTTGGTTGCTCAGAGAAACTGAGGCTGAACACCTGCAAACCAAGTGGCTGACTTCATGTTTCTGTGTACTTCTGGAAGCTGCTGGCAAATTCTGCAGTGTCTGAGGTGCTGCTGCAGGTCAGGAGGTGGTTATGAGAACTACCAGTAACTCAGGATCCTGTTCAAGATTGTTGCCTTATTGGATCAAAAAGCACTGACATCAGGCTTTTAGTAATCAAAGTATTTAATATTTTCTTTTTTTTAGCATTTAGCACATGGATGTTTTTGGTAAGTTTTGGGATAGACCTGCATTTTTTTGAACATTTGGGAGGTACAGGCAAATTTTGGTTTGAATCTCAGATGGGAAACCTTTAGTGGGAGCAGCAAGCTGTCTCCCCTCATTGGCTGCACAGACTCTTTCCTTGAATATCTTAGAGCTTTGAGGCAGCCGGCTGTTTTTGTGCATTTCATGTAAATTTTTTGCTTGTTTCTCCTCTACTTCTCTGCAGGAAATATGGGCATTGCTTTTTGGGATGGGATAGAGAGGGAACGAAGAGAAATTTCTTTTTTCATAGTGTTTGAGAGTAAAATGTACTGTTATTGAGGTGTGTTTTATGAAAAAAAAATTATTTTTATTAAAATCTTATTATTTTAACCAGTAATTTTAATAATAAATTTTAAAAGAAAATATATTTTTTTTCCCAGTGTTATACTTCCCCTGCCAGAGAATGTGAAGGAATATTTGCTAGATGATGGGACCCTTGTGGTTTCTGGAAGGTAAGGAGTGTGTTCCCCCTCACCCTTCAAGGATTAATTTTATATTCAGAGCTTTGTGTTGTGTACACATGCTATGTTTTGCACAATGAGCTTTTAAAATTTGACCAGTCTGGCTGCAGTAACCCTCCTGCTGTATGAGCATGTGAATGGCTGACTGTTGCTGTTAGTAAAACCTGACTTGCTGGTGCCTGATGTATATCCTGAATTCCATTAAATACAGTTGATTTTAGACCAAATAGAAGCAGTTCTTTCATTTTTTTTGTCCCCTTTCTTTGTGGGGTCTACCAGTGTGGGGTGCACAGCTGCTGGTTGGTGTTTGGTTGTTCTGATGCAGTTAGCTCCATCTCAGAGGCTT